TTTTATTTTACATGAATATGTCTTTCTATAAATAATTTCTTTAAAATTAATTGAAATAATTTTGAGGTTTTTGTATTTTTATAGAAATAAAATAACATTGTATTATTAATTTTATAATATAGTACCGACAATTAGAGGTCAATTTTAATAAAAATAAAACGAATGAACTCCAATCGTGACTATATGAATGTTTAATGAAAATAAAATTAATTGAAATAATTTTGAGGTTTTTGTATTTTTATGGACATAAAATAACATTGTATTATTAATTTTATAATATAGTACCGTCAATTAGAGGTCGATTTTAATAAAAATAAAACTAATGAACTCCAATCGTCACTATATGAATGTTTAATGAAAATAAAATTAATTACGGAAATTTAATATTATCGACTTTCGTAAGTGGATGTTGTAATTATTTTTTTTTGTTTTACACATAACATTCCTCCGAAAGATAGTTTGATTAAAGTTTATTAATAGCAATTATTTCTTTTTATATTCAACCAAAGTAATAATTAATCTTATTCTTTATTTGTTAATCCGATATAGACAAGAGATCAATTTTTATATCTATTTTTAAGAGATATTTTTCGAGCTCTAGAGGTTGGTGTGATTTTTTTTTGTCTATGGCAAAACTGATTTCTTGGGGATGATTTTCTTCGGAAAATAAATAATTCTTTTTAAGAATATCGGCATCTCAATTTAAGAAATTGTTGACTTTAATTGGAGACCAGTATTCACATTATTTTTAATAGTGAAAATTTTTTGTACATAATTCTTTTGTATTAATTTCTATGGAAAATTGTATATAATAGTAAATTAATAACCTAAAATAAATAAAGTAGCTAGCGTTTGATTTAATTGTTCTCCATAGCAAACGTTTGCAAAAAAATTGTCAGGCTTCTCTCTCCCAAATATCTCGCTCGCCAGTCTCCTTCAATCTCTCGCTCGCTTCCTCACTTTTTATATAAACACAAGTGTATAAAAATTATTTCTAATTGTATAAAGCAGAAAAAATTGTATAAAGACATAAATTTTTGTTCTTTCTATCTCCTCTTCCAGAACTCGCTCGCCACTCTCCCAAATCTCGCTCGTCATCCTCTCCTTTCTCACTTATACATACAGAAGCGAAATGTATAAATTGCGTTTCTGTTTGTATAAATCGTGAGAAAATTGTATATACACATGCAAGTACATATATTTTCGTCCTATACACTTATAATTATAAAATAAAAATACTCACCTGCCCAGTTTCTTTTGCCTTTCTCTCTTTCTCATTTTATACAATTTTCAAATTTTTAAATTGTAAATTGTATTTAATTTCTCTCTTTCTCGTTATACACAATTCAATTCGATTGTATATTCCTTGTCAAGTCTCTTTTGTCTTTTTCTCTTTCTCATTTTATACAAATTCAAATTGTATATAATCGTTCTATACACTTATAATAATATTCATTTTATACACTTCGTTTTTATACAGTTCTCTGCCCAACTGTCTTTCTCTTTCTTGTTTTATACACTTCGTTATATAAAATTTGCTTCAACTGTATATGTATAGCGAATTATACAATTTTTATGTTTGCTATGGAGCGCAATTATGCAAATTTTGCTATAACATACAAATATAAATTTTTTATTAGCTATATGTGAAAATTGCCCTAATTTGTATTTAACCAATTAAAGTGCATAACATGAATTCATTTGAGATAATGAGAAAATAATCCGCGATGAATTCTGTAACCAAGTCAAATAATATTATAGATAAACAGAGACAAAAAGATGATAGACATTAAATGTTTATATTATTAGTGACAAAAGTGAATGTCACGAAATGACATATAATTAATGACTAAAGTTTACACCATCTCACTACAAACATTATTTTGTCAATAATTTGATTATATACATTTCATGAAGAAATATTTTTCGTATCTAAACTTAAATCTTTTAATGAGAAATATTGATTTGTCACGAATTGTCAGTAAAATTAGTGATGAAACGGACTATCACCAATTACATCAAATTTGCGGCTAATATTACCTTATAATTGGCGCCAATTAACATTTTTGGTGGAAAAAGTTTGTAAACAAAACATTTGCTACAAAATTAACTTTGTCACTAAATGTATGTGAGTCATGCATTTAAGGTTCGTCACAAGTTGTGAAGTGACAAAACTGATTGTCACCAATATCTTTAAATTTGTGGATAAATTTACATAATAATTGGCGCAATTTTTCATTTTTTGGTGGGAGAGATTTGTAGACAACATTAGCTACGAATTTTATTTTTCATCAATAAAAATATGTGAATCATGTGTTTGAGGAAGAAAAGTAATATTTGTCGTAAAAATGTATAATAGGTGACAACTTATTTAGCATATCTAAACTTTTTGTGTCTAATCGTAAGATTTGTTGAAGTGAATGATGTATATGCTGAAGTTTATTTCTCTCACAGGCTGGGACTCCGGGCAGATCATAAAGAAAGACTTCTAGAAACTCCTTTACTATAGAAACTTACTAAAGGGAAGGTACCTCAACACTTGAGTCATTAACTCGGATTAAGTGATGGATATGCCCCTTTAGAACTAACTTTCTTGCCTTAAGGTATGAAATGAAACGACCCTTAGGCACTGCTGAACTACTACTCCACTCTATAACTGGCTCATTACGACTCTGAAACTTGACAACTCGAGTTCTACAATCTATTGATGCATAACTGTTACGCCCCTCAAAATGAACTAGGATAAACTAGAGACTAACATGAGTTTTATGTGTTAATAACTTGTTAATAAGGTGAGAAACAACTTGTAATAGTTGGTTTGAATATGTTTGACGTCAAATGTCAAAGGACGACCAAAACGTCCGGAAACTAGTCTTTTGTGTGCTAGTGTGTACTTGGATGTTTGTCGTGTTTTTATGTGTTATTTGGAGCCTAAAAACAGTGGAGGTTACCCTAGTGTAATAAACATGTGTAGGGTCAACAAGTTTGGGTACGACTCCCCGAGGACCACCCAAAGGGTCCTTGAGGAGGACCCAAACGTTGGAAAAGAAAGTTGTCAGGCAGCAGGTTTTTGGGACTGCTTGCCCAACGTGCCATGTAACACCCTTTAAATTCCATAATCATACTAGAGCCTCATATATTGTATAATGATGATTTAGACCCAATTTAGTATAAATAACTTGTAAAAGAAGTATTGGAGCCATATCATTAAAGAAAGTCTTGAAGTCCGAAAACTAGCGAAATTTAACTAGTTAATGTACCTAAGTTTGGTGAAGGTTTCAGAGGGTTATATGGAGTCTAAAACTTGTTAAAAGACATTAAATAGGTAAAATGTAGTACAGAGATAGTAATGCTCCTATGTCTAATGTGTGATTGTGGTGTTGATGCTAGAAATTCCTCATCCTTAACTCTAAGGTATTGAACTAGACATGAATTATGTATGTATGATATGATATGAATATTATATGATTGAAAGTAGTTTCTCATGATTTTAATAAAGTGTTAAGTGAAAGTTTTACTCACTTGTATGTGGTTTTGTAAGGTGAAAGGGTAGTTCTCACTTATGAATATCTATGAGCTATTATGATAAGATGTTCACATAGGGGTTTAGAGGATACTAATGTGATCTTGTATAATGATTATGATGATTACTAAAGGGAATAATTTCTTAGCACCAAAAGGACATGTAAATGAGATGGAGGTCCCACGTTAGTAAGTCCGGACTTCCACATGGGTTTCCTCACGTTAGTAGGTCCGAATTCCCTAATTATGTGTTGTCTTATGATATGGAAACCTCCACGTTAGTAAGTCAAGGTTTCTAGAAACAATTTCCTTGACCCTTAACTGTGTGCCCAATAGGACTCTAGCTTAGTGGATCCACCTAGATAGCTACGTACGAATGGTTACGCCTTAGGCAAGTGTTAATCCACTCTTTTCGGTGTGGGAATGGAACACGGATTCCATGTAGCTCACATGGTCTCGTCTCGGTTATTGCACTTCTTTACCTAATGTTAAAGTAATGAACAAGTATGCTTGTGAACTCCTATTAGGATCATCTTAAAGGCTACTACATAGTATGAGGGATGATATGGGACTTCTCTTACACATTGCACATATTGGATCCTAAGGAATGGTTCTAGTAGTGTTCTTTTATGATTATGGTTATATTAATAAGCTATGAGTAAGTATTGATGTAAAGGTATGTTATGAAAATATGTTGTAAGTATGAAGTGGGTTGCTTAATGTGATACTTAGCCTTGCATAGGATTATGAGGTTCTATCTTTGGCATTGCACAAGTATTGCTTGGGTTATCTACATGTTGGGTTGCTATTATGTTGAATTGACTTATTATGCTTTTTATATATGCAAGTTGAGTTAAATTGATAGAAAGCATGGTTTTACTAAATTGTCTTTTTCTCATGCGTTAATGATTTTTGTGCATAAGAGTCATACTTAATGTTTCACGGAAAAATATAACCAAAAAAAAGACTAAGTTTCAAAAAATTAATTAATCTTATGATTTAAGAGAAATCGATTTTCCAAATTAACAAAGTCGCCACTTGATTTTTTAGTAAAAATCAAGAAAAAACTTATAATTATTTTCAAAAAATTTAAACAGATAAAATCAGTTGAAAAATGATTCGAAGTTCAAATATACATTCCAAAAAGGTGTTAGGCCCTCAGAATGCCCGCTAACTCGCGATTGATCGACGATTTGACTAAATGACCTTTTAAAAATAATTATCAAATATTGAATAAACAAAGTAAATTCAAGTTTTATTTATTTACTTACCAATATCAATATTTCAATTTTAATTGATTATTCAAAAGGGAAATGAACTTAGAAGGAAAAATTTCTAAAAGAAAATAATTTGAAGTGTTGATAAGACTAATAAAATAAAAGGGGTATATGAAAGGACTAAGTAATATATATATATATATATATATATATATATATATATATATATATATATATATATATATATATAATTTGAATATCTATAACAAAAGAGAAATGACTATCATTTAGAATTAATTAACCAAAAATTAAATAAATGTTAGTGGCTATAATAATAAATAAAGAGTAGGGATAGAAGCATCAATTTTGGGCCTTTGAGCCCATTTTCTGCTGCTGGAATTTTTGGGCTTTTTGGCCTATTTTCCTTCAAAATATTCTGTGTATACACTTTATGTATATTCTGGTATATAGGCCGTACACGACCCCACTTTGGACCTTTTTTGAAAATTATGTCCTGTATTTTATGCCGAGTTTTCACATTTTTTGCACCTGTATATCATATATTACGGCTGTATATTAATGTATACAGCCGGTATATCCATTTGTTTTGAGCCTTTGGAGGCCTGTAAACTTAATTCCCAGCAGTATACTTGCTGCTCTCAACCTGTACGTCAATTTCGAAAAGGCTGGCAGACTCGGGGGTAAGGGTTTGAGACTTTACGGCTCAACAAGAGAATGCAAATGGATGAAGTAGGATCTGTAGGGACCCAAAATGAATTTTTTACATGCAATAAAATAGAAGTGAATTAGCATATGAAATGATAAAATAAATAAAATGTATTTCCAATGGAACACAATTTTTTTAAAAAAAGAAAGCTACTTAAGAAATTCAAATTGAACCGACACATATCACTCTAAACAAAGCCAAATGAAACCAAACTAAAATGACCAAAATTAGTAAACAAACCAACTCTAAATAGTAGCATATTCCTTAAAAAAATATTTGGATTCCAGAGAATACATAACCATCGGCCAATAATAGATTTTAAGTGTTAAGAGGAAACATGTGGCATAATTATTAAGTAAAAAAAAGGCTCATGATAAAATCCAAATTTAACTCCAACAAAGGAACCTAATATTGTTAGTTTTTCATGCTAAAGTGCAGAATGTTAACATAAGATAGTAGCAGGCCAAAATCAATTTAGAAGAAAACTATCATTACAGTCACAGAACCTAACATGCCAAACATTATTACTCCACTTAATATGCTTAAGGCACCTATGGGTAGAAATAAGTAGAACATTTAGGAGATGACATGGTTCATTAATAATTTAAATAAATGGGTGAGCTAAACCAGCCAGTTATGCTTATGATAGATATCTCCAAGCTACACGACGATGGAAACTAGGACCGGAATGCTTATTGTTGTTCAAGACGAGAGTACAACTATGTTAAACCAACATGATTCCCAATCCAAAACTACCTATCATCGGTATATGAAAACAACCTAAACAATATAGAATAGGAACTTAACTCACAGACATGACTCAAAAAAAAATCGATTAGATTAACATTCAAAGAAGCATGTCCTTAACACTTAGAAAACTATTCGAGATGAAGCCTAATGAACAAATAAACTGGCTACCAAGCAAGGACGTGGTACACCCATTTACAAAATACAACACTTAAGGATATTGACATGGAGTAGTAGATAACAAACTTGAAGAGAAAAATAAGAAACAAAGCATGTTTAATCTGAAAAAAAACAAAGCTAACACTTCGAAACAGACTCAACAAAACAACAGAGTAAAGGATCAAAAAGAGCAGTCGATGCAAGAAATCAAAACAACAACAAATATGATATATAAACTTGAAATATTGACGCCTTAGTTCATTCACTCAACTTGAGTTGAAAGGATGAAGGGTATGGCATCGAATATAAAGCAATACTACATGTTCACGGCGATAACAAAAAAATGTAGTAAAACGAAATAGAACACTCGATAACTTGACTAAGAGCCTGTTTGGCTCAGCTTAAAAGCTGGTCAAACCGACTTAAAAGCTGATTTTTGACTTATTTAGTTGTTTGCAATACTCAAAATAACTTATTTTAAGTTAAAAAAAACTTATTTTAAGCCAAAAGTTAAAAGCTGGGTAGGGGTGTTTTTTTTAGCTTATAAGCTGTTTTAAGTTGACCACATTTTTATCTTTTTGCCCTTAATATTTTTATACAATCTCCAAATTACCCACGTAACCCTAACATCTCTTTCTTCCATTTTTCCTTTTTCACGTTTGGCATAGCAACTTCAACACTTTTATCCAAACGAATAACTGATTATTTTAAAAATAAATTTCAGAACTTTCAAAAGTACTTTTTTAAAGCTGTTTTTATTAAGCCCATCTAAACGGGCCCTTAAAAAAAGAAGCTAGGAACATAAATAAACAGTAAAGGAGACGGAACAACATAGCCAACCTGAATCAAAGCAAAACTTTACTGAATTTAGAATTCAAACTTACTCTTCGAAAACTCATAGGAAAACACAAATATAGAATGCACACAATATGCTACATTGAAACGAAATACAGAAGAAAGCGATGATACTTTTCTCGGGGCAGCGAAACTTGACAACACTTGAGCTTGGAGTAACACTTCACCACTAACCTTAAATCGTAGAAGATCCCAGCAACCAAATAACATAAAAATGTATGTATTTAAGGTGTATTTTCTTGTATTTCCTATATGACTATTTCAGCCTAGTGGTTTCCCTTAGTAAGTTCTTGCCGACTTTTCCCAACTCTCAATATTTTTTCCTCCCCTTTTCTCCCGAAAATCCTCCAATTTCCCCCTTCCTTAAGAATGATTCAGAGGGCAACATTTATAGAATGAAACTAGGGCAGAGATTGAGAGGAAAAGATGAGGGTAGAATTGGAATAAACAAGGGCCCATTTCAAATTTTAAAATTCAAAACTCACCACTAAAGGGAAACACCCTTTTTCTGAAGTTTCAACCCATTCCAAAAGAGGAAACGGCGAATCGACGACCCAAATTGGTTCCATGGTTCTTGACGAGCAACGTGACTCAATCTTGCGCTGATAGGGGTGCTTCTGCGATAGTACGAATTGAAAGAGACGTTGGGAGGAGAAGACAACAAAGATGTTGTCTTTGTTGTACGCGTACAGGGCGGGTAAGGGTAAAAGTGGTGGGCTGGTGATGAATTGGAATGGGGAGGGAAATGGGTTACTGGTTTCTGGAGAAGTATGGGGTTGCTGAAAATTAAACTTGGGCCGCTGAAATTCAAAAGGGACCAAAACTTTGTTCTTTCAATTGGTTTAGGGGATTTGGGATAATAACTAAATAAGATGAATTATAAATTAATTAATGAGCTTTTTAATATTAACAAAATAAAATAATCGACATAACTATATAAAATAATTAATCCAAAAATGTAAACTATCATATCACAAAACTAATTTAGTAAAATAATTTAAAAAAATTAAATCATTTGAGATGATTTTTTAACAATCATAAAATATACTAATTATATATATAATCATGTAAAATATATATGTATTATCTAAAAATTATAAAAAGTGACAAAACTATTCAAAATAACGCAAACTTTATATTTTTTCTTAAAATTTATAAAACTAATTATTTTAAATTATTTGAGAATTTAAGAAGCTCATGAACTAATTACTATCGGGGAGGGTCAAAATTGGGTGCCAACACTTCGTACATTTTTTTTGTACTTACCATATTTCTTCTTTTCCCCCCAAACATTTTAGGTTCGGGCAGTTGAGGAGATTCGTGGTCATTGAAGAAAAAGACTAGGCTCTTTCCTAAGTCAATTGATGAGTCCTCTTGAGTTCTGAGGATAGAACCACTTATCAAGCCTTATTAGTTTTGTCTAATTTGTTTAGACGATTATTCCATTCTCTTTTGTTGGGACTTCATTGTAGCCAATATAAGCATATTGTAATAGACTAAGGGCTATGCCCAAACTATTATGGTTCATTCTTTAGATTGTTAAATGTGTGACGAACTATTAGACTATGTTGTTGTTAAATGTTAAGTGAGAAGCCTATGTAAGCTTCATAAGCGAGGGGTCTATGTAAACCCCATATGATATATCAAAAATTCCAAGTATACTTTGTTGTATAGAAAAGTTTTAATGTTTCGGTACTTTTGACCTATGATATGTGATGAAGAATGCTAAAAGGCTTGTCATAGTCTACTTTGAGGACGACGACGCCGGTAACGACTAGGGTTTACTTTAGGTCATTACAAACATGGTATCAGAGCATTATGTTAAAGTAAATCTTAGGTTTGATGTCTCAATAAAACACGTCTATGTAGGGTCTTATTCATAATTGTGAAGCGTGTCACACTTATGAATGAGAGACTTTGTAATGCTTAGGAATTTTCACTCTCTTGTTATTTCTTAGTCGTTCCTACGTGTCCTAGCTCTATTTAGTCATTCTTCTAATCGTTTTATTTTTGCTTATAGGCAATGAATACAAGGAAGAACAATGCTCAAAGGGCCAAAGAGGAGAATTTGAATGAGGCGGTTCCCCCTCAGGCTCCTCAAAACACTCAAGTTCCTATAGTGAAGGGGCTGTCTCTAACGTTGAGATAAGGTCGGCCATACATAGATTGACTTAAGTGTTGGCTCCCCAAGTTTCTAGGGATGCAAGGGTGCAAGTGAACCCTAATGCTAACACCACCAATTCAAGGACTAGGGATTTCATAAGGATGAATCCCCCTACTTTCTTTTGTTATAAGATGGAGGAGGACCCACAAGGGTTCATTGATGAAGTGTTCAAAGTTCTTGATGCTACGGGTGTTTCCTCTCAACAAAAGGCAAAACTAGCCGCCTACCAACTCAAAGACGTAGCTCAAGTTTGGTATGAGCAAATGGAAGAATGAAAGGCCAGTTATAGAAGGCCGGATTACTTGGCGATCTTTCAAGACGACTTTCCTTGATAGGTTCTTTCCCTTGGAACTAAGGGAGAGAAAAATTCAATAATTCATCAATCTTCGTCAAGGGAGTATGAGCGTGAAGGAGTATAGCCTCAAGTTCACTCAACTATCCAAGTATGCCATTACTATGGTTGCAGATTCTAAAGCGAAGATGAACAAATTTGGTACGAGGATATCCGACCTTGTGGTTAATGAGTGTAGGTTGGATAAGTTGATTCTTAGCATGGACATCTCTCGTCTTATGGTTCATGCGGAACAAATTGAGGAACAAAAGCTTAAGAAAGTTGGTAGGGAGTTGTAGAAGGTAATAACCGAAGATGGGAATTCTTGTAAGACTAAATTTGAGGTTGAAGACAAGCCAAGGTTCAAGAAAATATTTTCCAATAAAGGACCTTCTAATTCTCCAAGGGTTAACAAGAGTAAGGTTCCTACTCCCAATCCCCAAGAGGGGAAAGGTAAAAGATCTTATGTTGAGAAGCCTCTTTGTGCAAAATGATATAAGAGACATAATGGTAAGTGCTTAGTTGGCACGGGAAATTACTATGGTTGTGGAAAGAGTGGTCACATGAATAGAGATTGTCCTATGATGACAGCTCAAGGAAGGGAAAATTTCAAGCTCAAGCAAGTACCCCAAATTCAGATGCTCCTAAGAAGAATCACTTTTATGCTCGCAAACCTTGAAGTGATCAAGATAGCTCACTTGACGTGGTTACCGGTATATTATAATTGTTTCTCTTTGATGTATATGCTTTGTTGGATCCGGGAGCTATATTGGAATTTGTGACCCTCTTGTAGCCATGAAATTTGAAATACTACCCGACATATTAGACGAACCTTTTTCGGTTTCTACACCGGTGGGTGATTCCGTGGTGGTTAAGAGAGTATATAAATGTTTTCCTATTTCCTTGCCCAATTGAGTTACATTAGTTGACTTGATAGAACTAGATATGCTAGATTTTGATGTCATATTGGGAATGGATTGGTTGCATGCTTTCTTTGCCTCTATTGATTGTAGGACAAGGGTTTCCATATGAACCCATTTTTGAGTGGAAGGGAGGAAACTCAAATCCTAGGGGTAAGATCATTTCATGCCTAAAAGCTTGAAAATTGATTACAAAGAGTTGTCTCTACCATATAGTAAGATTTAGGGATCTTGAATCTAAGGTCCTTACAATGGAGTTGGTACCCGTGATGAGGGAATTTCTGGAGGTCTTTTCCGATGATCTTCCCGGAATTCCTCCCCAGCGGGAGATTGACTTCAGCATAGATTTATTGACCGATGCACAACCTATTTCAATCCCTCCTTATCGGATGGCCCCGACCAAGTTGAAAGAACTAAAGGATCAACTCAAGGTTTTGCTAGATAAGGGTTTTACTCAACCAATCATATCTTCATGGGGTGCCCCGGTATTGTTTGTGTAAAAGATGGATGGGTCTTTGAGAAAGTGTATTGAGTATCGTCAATTGAACAAAGTCACTATACAAAATAAGTACCCGTTCCTTAGGATTGATGACTTGTTTGATCAATTCTAGGAGTGTGACACTTTTCAAAGATTGATTTGAGATTAGGTTATCACCAACTTAGAGTGAGGGAGGTTGATATTCGAAAATTGACATTCTGAACAAGATATGGTCACTTTGAATTCCTACTGATGTTATTTGGTCTAACAAATGCCCCGGTGGCATTCATAGACCTTCTGAATCTAGTTTTTAGAAAGTATATTGATTTTTTTGTGATTGTCTTCATTGATGACATTTTTATATAATCTAGGAGTGAGAATGATCATATGAGACACTTGAGGACAGTTTTGCTAGTTCTCAAGGATAACCAACTTTTTGCTAAGTTTAGCAAGTGTGTGTTTTGGTTAAGATCGGTTTCATTTCTTGGTCACATTGTCACTAGTGAAGGGGTAGAGTTTTATCCAAGGAAGACGGAAGTGGTCAAAAGTTTGCCTAGACCTTTGAATCCAATCAACATTCAATGTTTTTTTAGGGTTGGTTGGTTACTATAGGATGTTTGTTGAGGGATTTTCATCTATCACATCTCCACTAACGACCTTAACCCAAAAAAATTCCAATTTCAAATGGTCGGAATCATGTGAAAGAGCTTCCAATTATTGAAGGACAGACTCACCTTCGCTCCAGTATCGACCTTACCGAAGGTTTGTGATTTATTTTGATGCCTCCTGAGTAGGTCTAGCGTGTGTAGTTATTCAACATGAAAAAGTAACAGCGTATGCCTCTAGGCAACTCAAGCCACATGAGAATAATTACCCAACTCATGACCTTGACCTTGCGGCGGTAGTGTTTGCCTTGAAAATTTGGAGACATTGTCTCTATGGGGTACATGTTGATGTGTTCACCGATCACTAGAGTCTACAATATGTATTCACTCAAAAAATACTTGAATCTACGACAAAGAAGATGGTTAAAACTTTTAAAGAATTATGACATGAGTGTCCTTTACCATCCCGAAAAATCTAATGTGGTTGCACATGAACTAAGCCGAGTGTCTATGGGTAGGGTGGCTCATATGACTGATGAGAAGAAAGAATTAGTCAAAGAGGATCATTGGTTGGCCTGGTTAGGTGTCCGAATAGAAGAATCTTCAGGGGGTGGTTTCATGGTCCGTCGTAACTCCGAGTCATCTCTAGTGGTTGATGTGAAGTCCAAGCAACATCTTGTTCCTCTATTGATGGAGTTGAAAGAATCCGTCCTTAGCAAGAATAATGAATCTTTCTCCCAAGGAGAGAATGGGGTACTTAGGTACCAAGGAAGATTATGTGTACCGGATGTGGATGTTCTAAGTGATAAAATCATGCATGAAGCTCATGGATCCCGACACTCCATCCATCCGTAGTCCACCAAGATGTATCATAACTTGTGTGATATCTATTGGTGGAATTAAATGAAAACAGAGGTAGCTAAGTTCATTTCGAGGTGCCCAAATTGTCAACAAGTCAAATCCAAGCATCAAGGCCCTGGTGGTCTAACCCAACATATTGATATCCCCACTTGGAAGTGGGAAGATGTCAACATGAACTTCGTGGTAGATTTTCCTTGAACAACGTAGATAATATGACTCAATTTGGGTAATAGTGGATAGATTGACTCAGGCATCCCACTTCCTTCCTGTAAAAGTTTCTTACTCGGCGGAGGAGTATGATAAATTGTATGTTAAGGAGATTGTGAAGTTACATGGGCCCCCCTTCTTGATTATTTTGTATAGAGGATCCCAATTCACTTCACATTCTTAGAGATCTTTCCAAAATTGGCTTAGTACTCGAGTCAAGCTTAGCACCGTCTTCCACCCACAAACGGATGG